CTCCTGCCAGGAAGAGCCCCACACAACCCCAGCAGCAGCAGCCTGCCCTGCGCAGATCCAGGGTCACACATCCCCCATGCCTCCTGGGGTGCATGCAGTGGTGGGAGTCATCCACCCCTCCCCTACCCTGTAGGGGCTGTGACTCTGTCCCGCATCCCACCCTGACTGGGCAGTGTCTGCCCCACTCCCTCCCATACTGCAGGGGCCTCAATCTGCCCTCCCCACGCCCCTTCTCTTCCACTACTAGACTTACCAGCCGGATGCTGCTCTTCAAGCTGCAGGGCTGCGTATCAGAAATGGGATCAGTATTGGCCAATGCGCCTCCTTAAAAATTGGCTATTGGTATTGGCCCCAAAAATCTCTATTGGTGCACCCTGACTTGCTTTTACTTGGAGCATTAGTCTTTAATGAAACCAGCCAGCAAGCAGCTTGGTGCCAGGCTGAAAAATTAAGAGAGCTATGGCCCAGAAAAGTAAGCATGCAACCGTAACAGAAGTAGGGCACGGCTACATGGAAAACCCAAAAGTTCTGAAGTGAGAAACAATCTACTGTTTAACCCATTTATCATTACTAAGTAAACTTCCTAAGAATAAACTGCTGACATGTAGTCTGCTTGAGATTGCGATATCGCCTGACAAGAACGTCCAAAGCAATGCTCTCAAAAAATTAAGTTAAATCATCCCCATCCCCTGCTGCCAATCTGGATTACATTTCCTCTGATTTGATATTACCGCAGGCAAGAGCAACTGCCTTGTTCAATACCACACAGGTATAAGACCTGCCATTTCCTGGCTTAGACACTAGGTCCATTGTACCCAGCATCCTATGTCTAAGTGGCGCCCCTCGAGGTAACAAATAGGCCTGTGTCAAAGTAACAAGAGTGAGTGGGTGCTGAAAGGGACAGTGAATTGGGTAGGACCAGGGTTGTCTTCCACTGTTGCTCTCTCACTTGCAGCCTCCAGTATATAAGACCTAGGAAGTTTTGATTTAGAGGCTTTGTCCCCATCTCCCATGCCCAACAGCTACTGGTGCCTTTCTCCCAAGAATTTGTCCAATACTTTTTGAAAGTGGATAAACTGTCAGCTTCCACAGCAGCTGGTAGCAGCAACCCACACTTTCATGACACGCCCTGTGGAAAGAAACTTCCTTTTGTTATCTTTAAACTTAGGCCATCTTTACACATGCTCCAGGAGTATGGGGCAGTGCTTCAGTTGGAGCACCTCTCAGGGCCGCTCTAAAGTGCCTGCAGCATCCTGTGTATTCAGCATCCTGCACTTCAAAATGGCAGCAGGAGTGCCTGTTCAACAAGCTTTAAAGTGCCTCCTGCTGCCATTTTGAAGCACAGGGCCGCTGGAGGCTGCCAATTAGCGTGCTGCAACATACTCCATTAACTGAGTCGGCTGCAACGCGCTGTAGCTACAGAGCATTAGAGCAGACATCCCTCATGTCTACAGATGCCCTTAGTGCAGACAGGCTTCTTGTTGTGACCCCCTGTTGTTGCAGTGTGAGACAGCAAACAGCAAAACCCAATCGACTTTCTTTTCTGCTTAGTATTTTCTTGCAGTAAACCCTGATCGCATCCCCCTCCAGCGCTGCTGTTTCCAAACGGAACAGGCCGAGGCTCTCTCATCTGTCCCTGGCACTGGGGGGTGCAACCCTTCTCCTGTCCAAGGGTCCAGCACGTCTCACCACCATGCGCTCTCGTCCCCTCGCGGGAGAGCTGCCCACGTGCCCGCCGCACGAAGAGGCGAGGAGAGGCGAGCAGGCGGCTCAGGCTGCGCCGCGGACCGAGCCTGCAGGCGCCCCCGGGCGGGACCACAGGCGCCCTGTCCCCACCCAGGGGCCGCTGCGGTGAAGGCCCCGCCACCCCAGCTCCCCTGCGAGCCCCCGCGGGTCAGCGAGGCTTGTTTCGGCCGCAGCGTTACCGGCGGAGCGGGGGGGTGGAGGCGAGGCCCCGAGGAGGGGGTTCCTGGGCTTGGCGTCGTTGCCTCGGCCCCGCCCCTCACCGGCCTCTCGCCGCCGTCGCTCGGTCACCGTCGCCGGAGCCGCAGGCCAGGTCGGGGCGGGGGGAGCGGGGCGGGACCCCGCCCAGCGCCGACCAATGGGCGGAGACGCAGGGCACGTTCGCAATCGCGACGTCACCGCTTCCCGCCCCCGGGGATGAACAGTTGGCGCCAAAGTCGGAGGGTGCGCGAGCCCCACCCCCACCCGGCCAAC